CAGGTCCTTTTCCGCCAGGCAGCTTTCCAGCCACTCTTCCCCAAGCCTGTAGCGCTGCATGGGGTTGTTGTGGCCAAAGTGCAGGACCCGGCACTTGGCCTTGTTGAATCCCATAGAGTTGGCCTCGGCCCATCGATCCAGCCTGTCCAGATCCCTCTGCAGAGCCTTCCTACCCTCGAGCAGATCAACACTCCTGCCCAACTTGGTGTCATCTGCAAACTTACTGAGGGTGCACTTGATCCCCTCATCCAGATCATTGATAAAGATATTGAACAGAACTGGCCCCAAAACTGAGCCCTGGGGAACACAAGGATACAGAGGAGATCAGATCATATGACTAAATGGTCCTTTGTGGTCTTACATCATTATTTCTTGTTGTACTAAGTAAATATAAGAAGGGGTGGCTACTGGGGAGCATCTGCTCAAGATTATATTCTTTGTCAACTGACTGCAATCAGTCTCTGTGAAAAACATGACTATCCTGAGTGTGTAGGATCTTAAGTGATCGCAGTACACGAAACATTCCTGGCAAGCAGAGTATGAAATATCAAAAGACAATCAACATTAGTCACCTATTTTCATTTGTCAGTGCACTAAGCTAACAAGATTTCAATTCATCTGGGTCACAAAGGCACTCAGAAGAGCTTAAGGAGAAGCTGAAGGAAAGGGCAGAAGCATGAATCCATTAAAAACACTGGCCATCAGACTTACAGGTAACATGATAATTAGGCTGCAAGCTTTGAAACACTGGCAGACAAACCAGACAACTAATTCTATATGCAATATTACACTAGTAAATATACATCAGTTTTAAATATTTATGGATTTCTTGCCCAGCTTGTGTATAAATGAATTAAGTTACCTCACCTGAAGCTATGATCCCCCATAATGAGCTGTGGTATGCAATGAAGACTAAAAGGTTTGACACCTGCAAGTAATACCTACCTCTCTGAAAGCAGCCAGGATGACACAACTGAGTTGTGTTGCACATAAACTATTGAGAACTACATTTAAACATTAATGAACTAACATTCTTCTTAAATTGTTGTATTTGCCAGGATGTGAACCTGCATCTTCTCTCTTCTGCTCACAAAGTTGATACGGCAATGTTCACCTCAGTGCACTTTCTGTTCTCATCACCTGTCCCCCTCCTTGAAGTTTGTTATATGAAGACACAACCTTTTCATCAAGTAATAACCCTCATCTAAACTATGCAGAAAACCAATGGCTGTAAACAAATAGTTAAAGCAGAACAGTAGAATAATAATACATTCCTTAACTGAAGGAAGAAAGAATAAAGTGGGGGAGGGAGAGTTCATTTTGGAGTTAGCACATAAACTTTTTTTCAGTTCTGCTACCCCGAAGTTCAAAACAAGGGTGCTTTCCATACAAGAAAACAATTTTATCCAAAAGAGACTCAAAGATTTTGAACTGCCTAATTTTGGTATGCAAACCTTAACACCCTGTGAATGGTTCTAACTTCTAGAAATTATTTAGAAAAATGCCAGGCCCTTTAGATGGTCTTAAATATGGAAGCTTTCAAAATTACCAGATACTTTGCAAATCTAACCTGGAAGGTGCATAAAGTAGGGTCTTAGCTCTTTCTCTGCCTTTTCCCCAGGAGAAGCTGTGGGCTCCATTTTTAGAATTACAAAGAATTCCCAACTCCAAATGGAGTAAACAAAAGCTGCAGGATCCATGCGCTTGTGAAAATCAGATCCTGGGGCATTAATAATTGAAGTGTCATGGTTACCTCTGTTGGTATCAACATCACCTATGGAACTCAAACATTAGTAGTCTAGTGCTGGTAACTGAGAGAGGGAAGAAAAAGCATTAAGAGGTTGAAGGGCATTCATTACCTTTTTGATGCCTAGAGGAATAACGTTGCTGTGCTACTGGAGGCCAACCAAAGGTGAAGACTGATCATTCTACACAGTAAAGTGAAGAAGTAGTTAGGCTCTCAAGTTGCAGCATCTGATGTCTTCAAAGGAACAATATTACACTAGCTGGCTGGCACAACACATTGTTCGGAACATCAAGGCTCAAAACAACAAAACATCAGTAGGTGAGGCTCAGACCCTAAAGGCATCAGCAAAGACAACAAAGCCAGTAGAAGGAATACTGAATTTAAGCAGCAAAATATGGCTACAGGATGCTTTCCAGAGATTATATTCTGCATATCAGAGGTGATGAAATGTCATTCCCTTGAGACACACATAGGCCATATCTTCTTTTGGGCATCACATATTCAAATGTGCAAAGGTCACATATACTATGAAGAGTCTAGGTGGAGGAAAGCACGGGGAGCAGTTCCCAAGCAGCAAAAGCCTCTGCATCCTTAGGAGGCAGGGTAAGGAGCTGTCAAATACCAGAACCCACTGCTGTCCCTGCTGGTGGTGCCAGGGGCAGGATGAGCAGGAGACAACAACAGCAGCCAAAAGAGTCAGAGGCACTGAAAAGACATCCCACCACTCCACTGCAGGCCTGGGCTGGACATCCCGCTCAGGCCTGTGGCAACCTCATGTTGCTAGCTTTATCCCCACTTGCTACTCAAACAGAAGCTCACTCAAATTGCTGGCAAGTCTTGTGTGGTTTTATAGACCCAGTTTAGATACCCATGTTGTGTATTTAAATCTATTAAATCACATTTATACTTTCTTGAGAAAAAATGTAGGGGAATCCAAATAGGGGAATTTATAACCCTTGAACATGCAACCTTTCAAGACTGATGTTGTGGTTTAACCCCAGCTGGCAACTAAGCACTCACCACTCGCTCACTCCCTGTCCCGCGGTGGGATGGGGGAGAGAAGCAGAACAGTAAAAGTGAGAAAACTCGTGGGTTGAGATAAGGCAGTTTAATAGGGAAAGCAAAAGCCGCACATGCAAGCAAAGCAAAAAAAGGAATTCGTTCACTACTTCCCATCGGCAGGCAGGTGTTCAGCCGTCTCCAGGAAAGCAGGCTCCATCACGCGTATTGGTTACTTGGGAAGACAAAATGCCATCACTCCAAACATCCCCCCCTTCCTTCTTCTTCCCCCAGCTTTACATGCTGAGCATGACGTCATATGGTATGGAATATCCCTGTGGTCAGTTGGGGTCAGCTGTCCCAGCTGTGTCCCCTCCCAGCTTCTTGTGCACCCCCAGCTTACTCGCTGGTGGGGTGGTGTGAGGAGCAGAAAAGGCCTTGACTGTGTGTAAGCACTGCTCAGCAATAACAAAAACATCCCTGTGTTATCAACACTGTTTCCAGCACAAATCCAAAACATAGTCCCATACTAACTGCTACGAAGAAAATTAACTCTACCCCAACCAAAACCAGCACAACTGACTTTTGTTGATTCAAGTCAATAATGATAATTACAGATCTGTTATTATTCCCATGTTTAATAAAAGAAGCCTTGCAACATACATTATTAAAGGGTAGACTACCTGAGGTGCCTGATCTCAAAACTGTAATACAGTTTTTGAATAACTGATACATCTTGTACATTCTCCTTTAATCAATGTTGGCAAACCAGGTCATGTCATATCCCTTCTCCAATGCTGATTTTGGTGGCAGGTGAAAGAATTTAAAACCTCATAGGAGGAGGAACCTTGCAGGATTTAGGAATCAGCATACTGTTTCACCTGTTATGTTTTAATCAAATATTTTCCTGGGGTAGATATGTGCTCTAGGAAAGATCCTCATGATAAAATAATGCTTAACAAATCTCATTACTCAGGTTTATGAAGTCACTTGCCCCTTCTGTAATTCAGAGGGATTAAATCTCTCCTGCAAATTAAAAATAGGACGATCGACTGATTAGAGCAGGGCTTCTGTTTGCTGTTTGAATCAGGCAGACAAAAGAGGGAGCAGAAGTAGTCATGTTCAAGAATTGTAACAAATGAGGATATTTCAAATCTCAGACTAACTTTATCTCAAGATCTCATTGATTACAAAGAAAAAGACTATACAAGCTTCATTCTTATGGTTTATAACATTACCAAAATTTTTTGATAGCCATATAATTCACATTTGCCTGTTTCATTGTGTTCTAGACAGAGAAGCCTAGGGAAAAATGGTTAATAAAAGCAAGGTGTTTTCATCCTTACTATGTGTCTGTACTTGATGTTTTTTAATAAACAAAAAGATACTAGAAGTGCACATAGCTTTTTTATTTTCTTTTTTTTTTCAAATGCAAGAATCTTAACATTCTATTTTAAGCATAGAAAAAGAAAGGGGATCACAGAGGGGGGATAGAGAAAAATTAGAGAAACACCAGATACTGCTCTACTGTGGTCACTGCAGCTAGTGTGGGCATGTATGAGCTATCTTTAAACTAGCAAGCTTGGATATTGCTAAAGAAGTAGCAAAAGTAACACAATGCTCAAGGCAAGCTGCAGACTCTTCCTCAAGGCTGGGTGTTTGGCACGTGGCCCACACGGAGCTACACACTGCTGCAGCCAGAGTGCTATCATGCACAGGGCTGTAACAGATGATCATATGTGCTGGCAGAATAGATCAAAGATCAGTCCTTGGTTTATCTTGGAAGTTAGGAGATAAAATTCATGTATGAAGATTACAAAAGTTGAAGATGCAATTAGTAAAAAGACAGGGTTTCACTCATCAGTCAGCTGCTTCAATTAGACTCCCCCACAATGGCTCTTTTCCAAAATCTTTTACAGATACTTTTGAATCAGGCTTCACTAGATATTCTTGAGACAATAAACTCTGAAGAGCACAACAGTAGAGGTGATGAAGCAGAGAAGGGGCAAACTCTCCACTTTCAAGTTTTGTAGTGTAAGGAATCTTAAGAAAACCCTATATACCTGGTTTTCCACATGAAATAGCTTGCATGTTTGTTCCCCACCTAAAAAAAAAAAAAAAATCTCTTGTGATTTTCCAAAAGAATAAAAACTAGGAAATTTTGAGCAGGCTAGGTATATGCCATCCTGAAATACCTTTGTGGCAAAAGCTGTAATTGTCACATTAGCAAGCCATAAAATAAAAGGCATGAATATTGTTTCTAGAATCAGGATTTTTGTTCTTTGTAACTTGCAGCCACCAGAAGGTAACATGAGCATGAGAAATGCATTCAAACAGGTCTAACACTCCACCCAATGCAGGGCATTGTGTGGTACTGTTTGGAAGCGGATACAGATACCACAGAGCGTAAGTGGAACACATCTACATTGTCTTCCAGAGCATGTAACCATATTAAGAAAGGAGGCCTAATGCATGAGCTTCCCGTCTCTGTAAACTTCAGGAAAAGAATGAAGTTTATATCAATTCAAGACAGATTTTGTATGAATTCTCTCCTGTTGCAAAACAAGTGTCATGGACCACATAACATTCAGAAGGCTACAAAACAGCAGGCAATTTCAGAACCATACTGAGGAACGTTATTTAGCAAAAAAGTAGCCTGTGGGTTCTGCAAATGAAATTACTCCAACACTCACTTGCATGGCAAATATAGAATTCTGTGTAGAGTGTACACCAAGCATCACGAAACTGCATTCAAGGAGAAAAAAAAGCTTCTTTGAGCCATCTTCATATCTGATGTGACCTTGTACAATTTCACTGCAATGAGCACTATTTCTTGTATTTGTGCAAAGACCTGTTATGCCTAAAGAAGTCTAAGGTAAAATGCAATTGCTGTGAAGCAGGGTCTGTAATAGTTGATGTCATGGCTGGGATACAGAGACTAGGCACAGGCAGGAACCAAACAGATGTCACCAGCCCACACCCAGAACAAAGTATTTTTTTAACGGTAACATGTTTTAAATAATGTAAATACTGCCATGTAGATTAGAGAATCGGTTTCAGTTAGGTGGCTTACTACTCCTCTGTCTTTCAGGAAAAATGAAGCAGCAATAGGGAGAGGACTAACCTCTTCAGGACAGTATTAGCTATGTGAAACCAAAAGGCACTTCTGGCCTATATCAGCTCTCTCATGATAGCAGAGGCAGAAATTAAGTGGTTCAATGGCCCTTTTGTCTGTACACTGTTGGTCAAAAAGCACAGCTATGCCAAAGCTTGTTACTGTGATAACTGGAAGTGGTTTTAATGTTTAGGCCCCCCTGCAGAAAGTAAAGTGACCAGTTACATCCAACGGACACACATTCAATTGCAATTCGAGGCTGTCCTGATTCATCTGGTTTTCATGCAGCTTTCAGAACACTGAACTACATCATCAGCTACAAATAGGCAACGTATGCAACAAGCTGGCCTTGCAAATTCAAACTTAAGACCAAGAAGCAGAGGTGATTGGGAGTTGGGCGCAGTACAGCACATACGTTGCAACTTTTTTTTTCTTTCCAGTTATTTCTCCAGCAACAATTTTCTACCGAGGAAAAAGGTTAGTTTGTGACAAAGCATCTTGTCGGAGATCAAAGGATATAAACAACAACTATAAGCACCTCTCAGGACAAGAATTATACTAAGCAGCTCACTCCTCTTAGCATCTTCAGCTCTTACATAACTTTTCAAAAGTCCCTATCGTTAGATTGAAGAAAACAGCTTGTATACAGACAATATAGTGTACAGAAAGGTCTCGTCAATGCCAATGTCTTGCTGAAAGTTACCTACTACACTCCTGAGAGAGCGAGGATCGGAACTCCCGTCTCCTGCATCCGGTGTAGTGCCCTGCACATGGAGTACATTTCATGTTTTGAGACTGAGAATGAGCCAGTGATTTTGAATGGTTACACAGCAAAAGACATGGAAGTCCCAGCCCCTAACTAGGAGAAAAGCCTATCCGTGTTGCTGAAACACTGTAACCCCTGTTTCTGCTTCTTAAGGACTAGAAAGACCGCTTCCTCCGAAGAAGGCACCCATGAAAAGCACCAGCTGTTTCTGCTGATAGAGCTGAGGCAAAGCTAGGGCAGGTCTACCTGAGGAAGGCGCTGTTAACATAAGATGTGGTACTTGATGGGCGCTGTTAACATAAGATGTGGTACTTGATGAGCATAGCACAACCTTTATGCTGGAGTAGAGTTTTGACGTGGATACCTACAGACCTTTTGCAGTATGATCAGTATATTAATAAAAAAAGAAACTAGAGTTTCCAGTGTAGAAATGGCAGTGTGTAAACAAATGACAGAATAGGAGAACTTTGAACAAGAGGGCCTTTTGACCAATTTCAGCCACATTTTCACTTTGGCAAAGACATTCACAACTGAACAGCTGAACGGGAGGCTGTGCGCTGCTATTTTTTTCGCCATCAAACACTTTGGGAGCACCGTTAGATATTAGGATTATGTGAACCGGTCTTTTGAAAAAAGCAATTCACACAGCATTTTTGAGAATTTTTTTAGGAAGAAAATTAGAGAAAAACTTAGTCAGCTGCAAACCAAAATTTGCAACTTGAGGGAAGTGGTTCGAAGTCCTGGATCTTTCAGTTATGTAGACTCTTTCACGAGGTGTGCTGGTATCGGGCTGCCAAGGCAGGAAGAAGGATTCATTATTTCCAAGAACATTTTTTTAATTTAATCATTCAGAACTGATTTTCTCCTGAAACACCCTCCATGCAAATTTCTAAGGCATTCTTTGCCAAGACATCTTTTCTCTTGGGGGTCTCTTTGGATTTAACAGGTAAAGAAATGCAGACTGTGATTGCTCACTCAGCCAGTTGTAGTCAAAATAGTAGAGATGACAAGACTGCATAGTCTTCTCTACTTGACAACACAGAAGAATACAGATACAAAGACTTACTCTGCAGGCATATCAGAAAGAGTGGAACCAAATGAGTCACAAAATACAAGGCCGGCCAGCAGTGCAATGGAAAGAAATCAAAATTAACTTCTACCCTGGTTTAGAAAAGAAGCCAGTACAGTTTTACAAATAAACTGAACTATAGGGAATATCTGACAAGTATATAAACCTAAAATGTATAAACATACATACTGTTAAAAATTAAACAAAGAGAAAATGCATCATTTTAACATATTCTTTTAGTGCCTACTTATGTAAAGCAATACAGAGTGGTATATAACACATTTAGGAATAAAGATGCCATTAAATCATATACTTCACAACCAACTGTGGTCCATTAAAACCAGTTACATTCCCTCCTGAATCATAACCATCTTCAAACATTTAATGTCAACAGCAACATAAAACCAAAATATGTAATTTTACATCATGTGTGTTGCATCCTGCACATAAGCAACTCATTTCTAAAGGTTTGTCTAGACACGGTTTTAGTGTCAGTGTGGCAGTTTAGACATAGAAAAACTAACACAATCACTGAAACAGATTCTCTTACCTCTGGTATTTAGAAGTGCTAAATCAGTAGCTCAAATCAGCATATTGCCTGTTAAAATAAGGCTACTTATATTGATATAGATAATTCTTCTTAATCTTGTAGCTATTTGATTCCTCTTCAAAGGTCAATCCCTATAGTTTAGAACTTTTCAATAAAATTTCAATAATATAGTCCCCTAACATAACTTGACCCACTGCAACAAAATTAGGTATTTCAGATTACTTCCAATTTTTCAAGATGACCCTTTAAGGCCATTTGCTTTTTATTACAGTATTTGGCCATCAAAAGGCAACACTGCTACTATTTTTGACCCTTCTTTGTAAATCCATTAATATATTCTTTAATCCTAGTCCCTTATTACTCAGTTTATTTGCAGCAGCAGAGTGGCAATAAGAGCTTTTGTTCCATTCTGGATGCTTTGGTTTCTTTTCAGATGTCAAACAAATTCATGAGTATTCTCAGTACTAGAATGAATGTAATAATCATGCCATTAGTTTTCAAGCAGAAACCCCTGTTGATAGCAAACGGGATTTTTTGCTTAGCAATTCTAGTCCTGAGTATCTTTTACACTTTACTGCTCCCATTTTCTCAGAGGCTAGTTTTAAGAACTGGTGCAGTAACAGTGCAGTATCCCAAAGAGTACTGTCTTTTCTTTTTCCTTTCCAAATGTCGTGGTTTAACCCCAGTTGGCAACTAAGTACCACACAGCCGCTCGCTCACCCTTTCCCCCCACCACAGTGGGGTGGGGAGAGAATCAGTTAAAAAAAAAGTAAAACCCGTGGGTTGAGATAAAGACAGCTTAATAGGACAGCAAAATAAGAGAAAATAATAACAATAATAATGATAAAAGAATATACAAACCAAGTGATGCACAATGCAATTGCTCACCACCTGCCGACTGATGCCCAGCCAGTTCCTGAGCAGCGGTCTCCATGCCCCAGACAGCTTTCCCCCAGTTTATATACTGAGCATGACATCATATGGTATGGAATATCCCTTTGGCCAGTTTGGGTCAGCGTTCCTGGTTGTGCCCCCTCCCGGCTTCTTGTGCACCTGGCAGAGCATGGGAAGCTGAAAAGTCCTTGACTTAGTGTAAGCACTACTTAGCAACAACTAAAACATCGGTGTGTTATCAACATTGTTCTCATCCTAAATCCAAAACACAGCACTATACCAACTACTAGGAAGAAAATTAACTCTAGCCCAGCTGAAACCAGGACACCAAAGAAAATGAAAGTTTGTTGGAAGAAATACGTACGTGTCTCACCCAGCACAGAATCATTAGAAAATTCTCATATTTTTGATTTTGCTACTCTGAGGCTTTTTTCACTGTTCTCATTCTCACAGCAATAAAAGTCAGACACTAATTAGTTTTATAATAAGGCAAGCTATCAAAAATGGAGAGAGCTAATTAGTATTTCTCCCTTACCAGTCCAAAAAAAATCAATTCAATAAAAAGGTTACAGCAAAATGGTAAATAAGAGGACTGCATTCAGGGGGTTTCCAGAATCTACTCAGCACTAAAAAGAATATGGAACTTTTGGTATATCAATACATTATAAACCCAATCTTTCCCACCTGTTGGGAACTATGCATGAGACTTTCAAAGGTTTGCAACTCAGAGTTCAGTTCATCTGTTTAGAAAGTACCTGGTGATTTGTGCGCTGAGATGCCAGTTTCTGCTCCAAGACAATATAACTACTAATGGATTCTTTCACAGTGCCCTCTTTGCTGTGCCCTGCTCCAGAGTGTTATGTACAACCTCTCGGTCTGAAGAATGGGCTGAAGCTTTCACTTGATTTCTCATTTACAATGCCTACACATCTGCTTGCTTCTGTTTTGTTTAAAGGCCAGAAGCACGTGGCCCTCAGTGGCCTTGAAACCCCATAGGGTAATTTTAAGAGGCATCATCTATGATAAAGAGTCTAAAAGTTAACCTAGTTTGACAGCAGTCCCACCTGGAGCGGATTAATTTATACAAATGCATAGGAAATGCCAGATTTTCTATCTGATCCTTGCTACTATAGACAACAACAGTGAAAAAGAAGATAGACACATGTGGTGGCAACACAGGAAAGCAAACCAACAAGACTCCTGTGCTAGTCTCTAATGAGCCCCTTCTCCTTCACCCTGCAGCAAGGTCCAACAGGAAAACAAACAAACATAAAAAGAAAGTGAGCTTATTTCAGAATTTTTTTTACAAGATTTGACAAGACCTCTGTAATGGTGGGTGAATGGTCAACATAAGATGGGTCTGAAAGTCTGTGTCCAGTCAGTTTCTAGTGTGTCTCACTAGCACTATATCCATAATTGATACTAACAGAGAACCTTGTTAGCTGTCTCAGAAGATAGAGGCCAGTGAGAAAACTGAATGGATGTGGAGGGTAAACACCTGTCCAAATCATGATGCATCTTGCTCAGGCATTGAGGGTTAAGCTGGTCGCCAGGTTTGGGTCCAAAAAATTCTTTCAGAGCAGATTGACAGGGAAGGCTTGGGAGGTTTTGGTCTCTATCAATAGCGTGAGGGATTGTTTACTTTGTAGGGTCGTCTAGACTTCTTTAGGGGACAAATTCTCCTGAAACTTTAGAGTCTGAACGCACTGGTAATGCCCCAATCTCTTCTGCTCTTTTCCTGTGGTGTGGTGTGCTCTTGTGGTTCTACCTTTTGTATTATGGACTTTTATGTCATTACAAGTTTGGGGGAAGTGTTCTGTGGCTCCTGACCACACAGTGTAGCATTTCTGTTGACTTATCTGAGCTAAACATTTACCACAGGGCTCCCTGCTACTGCAAAGGATGAAATTTGATGGCTGAGGTGCTTCCTTCAAGATCCCTGTTCTCTCTAGGCGGCCCTTCCAGTTTATGCATTAGCCAACCTAATGGGCAGCTCCCAGGAAGCATGCTCCAAATCTGCCCTGCCCGGCCAGCGAGAAGAAAACTAGACAGTCTCCAGGCCATCAACACAACATAAGCTCAATATTGCTGTTAAAATAAACAACAAAAGCAGAGATTTCTCAGTCTGACTGCAGCTGCTGCTGCTTCCACCACCTCCTTTCTCACCCCAGGGAATCAAACTTCGCACTGCAGATGTTTTCACTATACGTCCTCCTGCCCAGCTGCTTGATATATTAACACCAAACTCAAAACAACACAGGTTTTCCATCTACCTCTTTCTCTAGCTGACTGTAATCTTTGGTCTGCAGATTTTAGTCCCTTCCCTCCTGAAATTTGTCATCTTATTTTAGACATTTTTTAACCTCAAGCAACCTACTGTCATTGCCACATACACAATTCCAGAGCCAATAGTAAAGAGCAGTGCTGAGGAGAAATAGCATAATCAATGTGTTACCTAGATCCTGCCCTGAACTAGTTTAGGAATTA